AATGCTGCAGAGAATTCAAGGGATAGCCTTGCTAAAAGTAGGTTCATATTAGAGAAGCGTCTTTAGTACTAAATACTGCCCATCCAAGAAGTACGCAGGTTGCTTGTCGTAGATGTTACCGATGATGCTCTGGAGCAGAGACGTGACGCATCAACGAAAACAATCCGAGGGTCTGGTGTTTTACATTTGATTCCTCTAAGCGAGCACTAAATCATGCTCGCACTTCTTTCCTTAAAGACTGATTTAAAAATTTACCTCTTTTCGTAGTCTTCTCACTTAAATATTAAATGAAAATTCTCTCATTACCCAAGTCTAACACTTGAATTATTTCTTACAAAGCTAAATAACGCATTGTTCTTTCAGCTCACAGTTGGTTAAATTTCATTTTGAGTTCGTTTCCTTGTGTAATTTATTGTTTCTTGGCCCCAGTGATATTTGGGCTGAATCATTGCATTTTCGTAGTATATTCGTAATATAAATTTTAGCATTGCACTAGTTTTGCTTCACAGCACTCTAATTGTATTCATAAAAGCGTATAAACTTCTCCTGCTCTGTGAACCGATTCGTACTCGAATGAGCCAGCTGTATTTTTGTGCGAACGATTAGGAAAGATCAATTCCTCGAGTGAACAAATCGAATTTTTCGCTTCCTGTTTATGGACTCGATGTTCAACGTTCCATGATGAAACTGAGATGAAAGAGCTCTGAGATCACGAACACGTCTCTCTTCGCAAGACGCATGAAATCTTTTCGTGGTTTCTTTTCATTTGCTTTGTTTACAAAAGCACATTAGAAATATCACCAAAAACAGAATTACAATATATGCCAATTTGACACTTCTGGTACATCCATGTGGGGTTTGTTGTGTTAAGTAATTACTTATAAACAAAGGCTGGTGATTATTATATAGTATCATCATTGTTATATAGTGTTGATAAACTGTATGGTTAAACAAGACCCCTTCTTCGATTTTATACGGCATGGCGAAACTGAGATGGAAGACATCAGGTTTTATATAAACATCTTCCCTCTTTCACCCCTCTCAGCTTTAAAGGATGTCTTTTCGACGTCAGCCGGTTTTCCACCGATGCTTTTCATTAGATAAGCTCATTTCACACTTCGCCGAAGATAAACTTAAGGTCTTCTCTAATTTGACCCTTTTTCAGTATTTGTACTTTCAAGTAGCGGCTGATAACAAAGGCTCGTTTTTAAGATATTATATTATGTCAATTACCCGTCTTGCTGAAACGGACTTCTTCCGGTCCTAATTATAGCAATGATCTTTTGTTATCGTTTACCAACTGTCGTGCTCAAAATAGTCGCTGACAAAGCACCCGGAAGTTTCGTTAGCTTGGTAGTGCACTTTCACTTTCATTTCGACCAAATTGCATACAGATACGTTCTTCTACGTCTATAGGAACTTCTCTAATAAAAGAAAATGAATCTTGTGAGTTTTTTTTTTTTTTAAGGATCTTCACCTTCACCTACACTCACCCGGACGATCAAATTACACTACTACGATCTTCACCTTAGCCGAATGCATTATTTTATGCGATCGTGCTACAAGAATTACAGCACGAAATTGCTAATACATGGCATTTTTTTCTTTGTCAAAGGTCTCATACCTTGCATGGGGTGATTCCTTTATCGACGTTGAATCTTTGTTAATTCCTCCCGTCGCAGACTGAAAACGACTGTCGTCTGTCCCTCCACCGTGGCTACACTTTCCTTTGTTTACCGGTTTCCTTACGTCTTGTCCTGACCGATATCCGCTCGTAAGTTTTCCTGTGATCAGATTTGTCCCACATTTATCATTTCTGTCTTGGTCTGAGAGACAGCTCGTGCATGTTGCTTCATTCGGTCCTGCAACGAATATTTCCGAAATCTCGTTTCCGGGTTGACCCAAAACATCAAATGGAACCGAATTGCCAAGCTCTATCCAGTTTGAGCGGCTGTAGAAATCTTGTAAAGTGTGCAGCGCGGAACCTGCCAAGTTCCGAGCATGTTTTAGCTTATCACCCTTCAGAAGGGAAGTTATCAGCTCTTGGCGCAATCGGATGAGGCGCTTTGCGCCTTTTTGGAACTGCTCGCCATCAAAATGTTCCTCTGCCTTCCTGTTTAAGGGATCCACTTCCACGTTAGCGCTCTGAATCTCGTTGATGGCATTGATGAACTTGATTTGCGAAGAGATGGTGTTCATAGCATCTTTACCTGCAGTCGGTTCCTCTCCTATCTCAGATAGGACACCTTGAAGAAAACCAGTCAAGGATTCGTTCTTCAAATACTGGGAGTTGTCGAAGAAAAAGTGTATAACTGTCTTAATTAACCCATTTCTTGTTATCAAAATGTGATCCTTTGTTTCTGATTTTTGTTTTGCTGAGTTAATCCTTGGAAGAAATGCATGGACCGTAAAAGATAGGAAAGGCGCTAAAATAAAACACGCGGCAAAAATTTGCATACTTCCAGCTGTCATGAAAACTTGGGTTCAAAGGCTGCACTGGTAAAAATGTCTAATAACTGTAAGTAGTGCTTCAGTCTTAAACTCCTGTAAATGATACGACTAAAGATTGTCGGGTAATTAATGAGAGGGGATCACTCAAATGCTAAGAACTCTATACAGGAAATGACTTAATAGTCGTGGCATCTGAAACTAAATTTTGCAATGTCATGTAAACAGCAGGCCTGTGTAGAAAGTAACGTGACACATACCTGTTACACGGAAACTTTTAGAAATGTCGAGATTGCAATTGATTATATGAGGGAAAATTTACAATGAAAACAGCAGAATTGGATTAAGTTCACTTTATTGCATTATTCAGGTTTAGAAAATTTGTAGTCAACGGTGCCATTCTTACGTCATAAAATAAGGTTCATCCAGGTAAAAATGGTTTAAATGTTTGTCTATTTCCTTTGTTTGTGTCCAATTTTTGCTCGGTTCTTACGTGTCTTTCTTTCTTCGTGGTTTACTGTAGGGGTGTGAATGCTTTCTAACGATTTATAAAGCGTTTTGAGGGTTTAAATGCTGTTTAATGATTTGTCTGCATTTTTAGTTATTGTTATTGTTTCCGGTTTCTTTAAATTTCAAGGTTTCAGTCTTGTTTTTTTTTTGTTTTGTTCTATTTCATTTTGTGTGTGGTGCGCTTGTTTGCCTGACACTAACAAACCAAAGGTGACTATCTGTAAGTGAAAACCTGAAAAACGCTTATCCTTTGTGCCCTTACTCTCTCTTCAGTTGTTTTCGTCTAAATAGTGAGGACAAATGATATCTCCTTTAAGTTCATCAAATTTGATGTGACCCCAATCACCAGAACTCTTATCAACTAGTCTGACTTGAGCGTATTGACCAATGAATTCCTTTACGTCCCAGCTCTTACGGAACATTGTCTCGTTAAGGTTGCCTGTTTCTGCTCTGACAACCTACAAGTAACAACAAACATCAAATATGTATGAAATTTTTATACTTCTTGATTATCGTGTGGTATGGAGTCCATTTTACAGTTTTGTATTCAATTACCTTTCTAACAGTATGCGCCGGTAAACCCTGAAGGACATTTACAACGAAATCCTTTATCAGTGTATCCAGCTTGACATGTGCCATTGTTGAAACAGGGACTGCTGCTGCATGGATTCTGATAAAGAAAAAATTACTGCGTACTATAAATATCCATGGTTAGTTATTACTTATTATCAAAGGAACACAGTCTTGCTGGATTGATAACTTCCTTAGGCTCTTTGATCAATTGAATATTAGAATCAATTACACTTTGTCAATCATTAAACCAGGAAATCGATCAATCGAGTCACTGGATTTTTGTCAGGTTGAGTAGTGGTTGATTTATTAAGAAAGGCTCCCATTCTTGTTAGACACGGGTTTTTTGATTTTTCCCTTTTTTAATACTGTACAGATAACACCACTGGTATACGTTAGCTTTGGTATTTTACCTTGCTCAGGTGATTCCTAATTTTCCTTAAGTGTTCGCTGCCAATCACAGTATCTAGAACTACCATACAAACGATAGGCCACCAAAGAGATATGATGGACCAATATCACCCCATTCATTACCGTATTGGTACTAATCAAATGCTCTATTTTATCGGTTCACGGTGCATTTTGGGGTAGTTTTTAAACGAAAGTTTAAAAAGAAACACTTGGGCGATAGGTAGAGAGTCGATAGGACTTATTGAACAACGTAATATATAATCTGTGGAAAAATAATTCAATTTCATACGAAATCGGGTCAAAAAGTTTCTCGTGATGCATGGTGCAATATTAAGGAATCACCTTAATTCAATACAAGGATTGCAAGGCTAGCTTAAGAAGTAATCCGACAAAATTATCGCCCACAATTACTGTCCGCCGTCTGAAATAAGTCACTTTACCTCGATGCTTAGATGGATATAATCTTGTTTACTGTGAAGATCGGATGAGCCTGGACTTTCGTCTGAAGCATTGTTCAACTCACAAATATAGTTGCCTCCTTGCGAAGGCCCCAAATTTATGGACACACAACTGGGCTCCATATAGCATAGCACATTACAGCTCCCTTGGTGGGGTACCTCTACAAGCCTGATTAAGTGCCCCTCCATGACTTTGTTCCGTATTGGTTCTTTGAAAACAATAGCTCGACTTTCTTCACCTGTTTAGTATTAAAACAACAAAAAGAGAATAAAATTATCAAGTTCATGCACGGTTTTGGTCTAGAGATAGAGATTTCAATAGCAAGGTAATATCAGGTAAAGATGCGTGACTTTTGATATATTTTCAACACGCCCCCAAAAAAGCAAAAGAAGCTGAAATAATGAGATATCTATATCTAGATGACACAAAAAAAAAATACAAAAACAAAGACTTAGCAATTAAAAAACACTGTTGGTGGGAGAAGTTACAGCGTAATTATGTATTCATGGTGATGGCTCTTTCAAGCGGTGCGGATAAAAGGATATAACATCGGGGCAGATGTTCATAACATTTTTATCTCACGCTCATTAATTAGAGCCTTTTGAGATGACCGGCGCCATTTCAATTGTGTTCAGCTATATTCGGTTCAATTTGCTCTTTCCAAACACACGCCAAAAAAATAACTGAAATGCATTCTCCACATGATTTATAACCGAAGAAGCAATGAGTGTATACGCTGAACATCAAGAAAATAATAAAAAATTGTAAACAAGAAAAAGAAAGCAGCAGTGGTAGTAGCTTGATATGTGACTACAATTGTTAAAACTATGGGCAGTAAAGTTATGAGTTTCTTTTCCTGAAACGAGTAAATGTTCCTGTTTGTGAAAAGGCCGCGTGCGTCATCATAGAATATCCTCTGTTAACGATCTCTGCTTCTACAGCAATGATTTTCAGTCTTAAATTAAAACTCCGCTTGAAGCTATTCCGTAACTGATATCAAACATTTCCCATGATTAAAGCTGTTTTCTCTAGGAAAGACATTCCTAAAACCCCGATTACGTAACATGTATAGACACCAGTTTGAATCGTATTTCGATTCAATACACAACTTTGTTGAACATCTAAAGCATATCATACCGTCTTGAGCCACAGCCTTTGAAAGAATTATGCAAAAGTATAGCTGTAGAATAAAAATGAAGCGAGACATCTTGAGAAGGAAAACAGAGTACCGGTCTCGAGAACAACTGTATCTGCTTCATTCAAAGACGTTGTTTTAAAAACATTTTTCTTCATATCAAATTGCATTTTCATCTACCAATGAAATACCAATGAAATAAATGCTGTTATGGCGACAAACTACCAGACACAATAGATTGATAAGATCGTGGTCCCCTCTAAATATGCAATATGTGTTACATCATTTACTTTTGATATAGTTTGTTGAGATCTGAATAGAAAAATTGTATTGCCTTAGCATTGCCTATGAATAAGAAATGACTTCTCCCGTGGAATCCCAATCAGGAGGTTTTGCCCAAATCTAATTTGACCTCTAAGGTCAAATTCGCTTCAGTGCATGTAGTTCTACCACGTGGTTTGTATACATGACAAAGAAGATACTATCTACTAAATATTGCAATGGTTTTACTTTGATCATGAATAACAAGTAAATGCATTTGGTGGGGTACGATAAAATCATCGCGAGTCGCGGTTATAAGATCTGTCCTTATAGAAATTCCTACTATTTCGCTTCCATAGCAGGTATTTCTATTACATGTACTTGTCGGTCTAAATCTGTGGAGGCACAAAAAAAAACAAACAAAAAACAATTTTTACACATAAGACGTGATGTATAAAAACTCAAACCTTTTTTAACAATGTAAAGTATAAACGTATCTACAATGGAGTTCTTATGTTACATTTAAATGTTTGTCACGTTCACGTAATACTTCAGTGTCATTAGTGCCATGCTACAAACTATGTTGGCAGGCAGTAAATTCTATTTGTGATGAGGATGTATTTGAAAAACAACAAATTTATTCAGCCTTTACCTCTTTTTTTTTAATAGTTAATAACCGGTCAGAAACTCCTGTGCACTGTCACTTGGCATGAGCAAATTGTTTTATATACACAGGTGCCAAGTAACGGCGGGGCTCGGTTTGCAAAGGAGGCAGGGTTACCAAGCTGATTTTCAACGGTCGTGTGTTAAGGTGAATGTGTACGCGGGCCGTTAGAAATGTCTACAACTCAAACGTGATTAGTTATCACCAGCCCGATTTGAGAACTAATAGGACAGTGCACGCGTCATTTTTTTATTTGAAAGTGTAATAGGACAGCTTAAGGGACAGTTAACAAGTCACTGATGCCTGTGTAAGTGGACAGAACACTTCCTGTGCAAGCGCTGCTGTCTCCCATTTCGCCTAGTTAACTGTTATATTATTATACAAAAATATATAGCCAATGTCTAGTTTTACCTAGTTTCTTTCGCAAATTTTGTCATAGTTTTGATTAATTGGTAACAGGACTTCGTGTCGTCCAATTCTGTCTGTAATCATACTCGCGATTAATAAATCAGAGTCCCACTTCGCAGTCGTTCGATGTTGTATCTCACTCGTATGATTATAGACCGATTTGAAGTCCACTCAGCCCTATTGCCATTTTGGACTCCCTTATTTTTTCCTTCAGAAAAAAAAAATTTATTTGAAGGAGACATGCAATAATTTTTATTAATTATTTCACATGGGATGCTGAATTCTTATTTTTAAGTTTGTGTACATTTATAGGCCCATGTAGCCATGGTGATGTCTCTCGTGTGGCACATGTTTGAACCACTTCTGTTTGGCCTTGTGGGAGCTGAAGTCAGTGTAGAGTACATGAACAGTAAAGTTTTCGGTGAGTTATTACAGTGGAATAATCTACAGGCAGGATGTTGTAACCTTAATATGTTGGACACGAAGCTACAGTCTGTATTAATTTTGTTCTCAGTCCCTCCAAGGTCAACTCCTTGTCTTTACTCAGTCAAAAGCTAACTGTTTCACCTTGTGTCTGCAATGGCTCTAAGCTAATTTTTGTCTATTTTGATTTGTTGAATATTTCTTTACATTGACTAAGGAAAGACCCCTCGAGGGAGTAACAAATAAAGTTATTACTATTAAAAATTTGTATTATCAAATTATTAGGTATTACTTGGTGGTGTTATATATGTTATTCTAGAGAGTTGATGACTTTTACTTGTTACATGGCGAAAGACTTAACTTCATTGCAGGATCAGAGATTTTTGTAATTCTTATCATTATGTCATAATAAAACAGGAGGTACACAATCCTAAACGAATCAAAAAGTCCCCTTCCCTCCCTGCTGATGGGTTCAGTCGACGAAAAGTGTCAGTATTGGCTGATTGCCGTATGAGTAACTGAATACTCAGCTGAACATCTCAATGGGTCTAACCCTAAGAAATGATTTTTTCCCTTTTTTTCCTGGTAGCAACGGGTATTGCAAGTTTTGTTGTTAGTCTGGTTTTACGGCTCTTCACCACTTATCTTAGCTTGCTCGGTAATGACCTCAATTTGAAGGAGAGAATGTTTATTGCGATAGCGTGGTCACCAAAAGTTACGTTTTAGGTTTGTTAAGAATAAACAGAACATCAACAAATATTAAATTTGGCAGATTACGGGAGTGCCTTTAGAAAGGAGGCATGGAGGGAGCAATCAAGCATAGAAAAAAGAAAGGAGGGAACCGAAAAAGGAAGGGATGGAGGATAGGTGAAAGCAAAGGTAGCAAAGGAAGGAGAGATGGAGGTTGGGAGATAAGCAGGTAGAGAGTGTGGGAGAGAGAGGAGAGGGGGAAGGTTGGAGGAAGGAAGGAATCTATCGAATGTTCAAATTATTCATTGAACCATGTGCTTAATTTAGGTTGCCATTGGTTCTGTTTCGCTGGACTTAGCTCGACAGAAGGGCTTCACAGAGCAAATCGAAGAGGGGTTTGGAATACAGGTGAGTTGCTTTCCTACAGAAACCTTCTGGATCCCATGAAAGGAGGGAAAGTCGAATTATAGAAAGCATCGTGTAAGATTATTATATTTTATCTTTTTTACAATATCGAGAACAGAATATTTAGCGAAGCAAAGGTAAAGAGTACTGAACCATAGTTGTATAACTTACCGAAATGACAGAGGAAAAGATTATCATATTATCATCTTGGGTTCGTTTCCTTGAGTAATAATCTATCTTTCTTGACCCCAGTGATGTTTGGGCTGAGCTATAACATTTATCGACAGTAATAATTACAGTATTACATTAGTGTTGCTCCACTGCTAGGGTGGTGAAGTGATGAAACTGAGATGAAAGACCTCAAGTATCACCTAAACATTTCTCCTCTTTTACTCCTCTCAGCTTGGAAGGATGTTATTTTCGATTGGATTTTTTACTCGACGTCAGACGGTTTTCCACCGATTCTTTTGTTTATATAAGCTCACTTCACACTTCGTCGAAGATAAATTAACGGTCTTTTCTGATTTGACCCTTTTTTTGCATGTACTCTCAAGTAGCTGCAAATAACAAAGGCTCGTGGCGTCAACTGCCCGTCCTGCTGAAGCAGACGTCTTCCGGTCCTACTTATGATAATGATCTTTCAGTATCGTTTACCAACTGTCGTGCTTAAAATAATCACTAACAAAGCACCCAGAAGTTTTGTTCGCAGATCACTTTCACTTTCTTTTCGACCAAATTGCATAAAGATACCTTCTTCTACGTCTGTAGAAACTTCTTTAAAAAAGAAAATGAATCTTACGAGTTTATTCTAAGGATCTTCACCTAAGCCGAATGTGTTGGTTTATGCGATTGTACTACAGGAACTACAGAACGCAATTGATAGTAAATGGTATTTATTTATTTCTCTATAAAAGGTCTCATACCTTGCATGGGGTGATTCCTCTATCGACGTAGAATCTTTGTTAATTCCACCTGTCGCAGACAGAAAACGACTGTCATCTGTCTTTCCACCATGACTACACTTTTCTTTGTTTATCGGTTTCTTTTCGTCTTGTCCTGACCGATATCCGCTTGTAAGTTTTCCTGTGATCAGATTTGTCGCACATTTATCATTTCTGCCTTGGTCTGAGAGACAGCCTCTGCATGTCGCTTCGTTCGGTCCTGCAAGAAATTCTTCCGAAATCTCGCTTCCAGGTTGACCCAAAATATTTAATGGAACCGAATTAACATGTTCTATCCAGTTTGAGCGGCTGTAGAAATCTTGTAAAGTGTGCAGCGCGGAACCTGCCAAGTTTCTAGCATGTTTTAGCTTATCACCCTTCAAAAGGGACGTTATCAGCTCTTGGCGCAATCGGATGAGGCGCTTTGCGCCTTGTTGGAACTGCTCGCCATCAAAGTGTTCCTCTGCCTTCCTGTTAAATGAATCCATTACTGCGTTAGCGCTCTGAATCGCGTTGATGGCATTGATGAACTTGATTTGCGAAGAGATGGTGTTCATAGCATCTTTACCTGCAGTCGGTTCCTCTCCTATCTCAGATAGGACACCGTGAAGAAAATCAGTCGAAGATTCATCCTTCAAATACTGGGGGTTGTCGAAGAAAAAGTAAATAGCTGTCTTTAGCAACCCATTTCTTGTGATGAAAGTGTGATCCTTTGTGTCTGGTTTTTCTTCTGCCAAGCTAATTCTCGGGAGAAATGCATGGACAGTAAA